ACACACACACACTTGCCCAGTGTGATTTTCAAGCCTCCAGATCCAGGACTTGGACCAAAGTTGACCACATGGAAGTCCAGTGCTTTAACCACTACAGCACCTGCTGACACCAAATATTGAATATTTTAACCTTTTTAAAAAATATTTGTAGAAGAGAAGTATGAAAGAGAGAGAGAGAAAGTGGTGAGTGTAGGCATGAGCATGAGGGGACATTTAAGAAAGCTACTTTCTGGCCAGTCACAGTGGTGCACGGTAAGGCAATGCTTCGTGATGCTGAAGCCATGAGAAAAGATCCCCAGGTTCACGAGCTATATACATTGGGTGCACATGCACACACCTGTGGATCCAGACTGCCTGAAGCTAGGGGTGGATTGTGACATGAAGACTCTTTCGGGGGTACCTGTCTCTCTCTGTAATGAAAGAAATCTATAAATATTTTCAAAAAGTTATTGGGTCGTTGGAAAACTCATGACATATTTTTCTGTTTTTCTATGCAAAAATGCATCATGACTTTTCCAACGACCCAATAATTCCTCATCTCCCATAGTAGAACTTTAGAAATAAGTAATTTCTAAATCTAAATAAGAAGTAGCAATAAGTATTAGGGTATTTATCAGAAGTAAAGTGTTATGTAACAAAAAAAAAACAGCTAAAACTGTGAAAACAAGTTTAGAACAACATGAATTTTATTATCTCATGCTCTGCGGGCCAGAAGTCCAGCACAGGATGGTTGAATTCTCGTTCAGGATCTCATGAAGCCAAAATCATGGTGTCACCAGTCTTGACTCCCACATGGAGGCGGCTCTGAGGGAGAATCTGTTTCCAAGTTCATCCAAGTTATTGGCAACATCCAGTTTCTTCTCGGACTGTCTACATGGCCCCTTAACATCCGCCAGCCAACGATAAACCTTTGGGTTCATTTGTGGTTTGATTCTCTCCTCTTTCTCTTCTAGCCTGAGTATTTCTCTGCCTTTAAGGACTCAGATCATCCAGGAAAATCTCCCTATTTTAAGTTGTGTAGATATCACTTCTGTGAAGTCCCTTTTGCCATGTAAAGTACATATTCACAGGTTCTAGGAATCTGGGGGTGGGCACCTTTTCTGGGAGAAGAATCAAGGAAGGAAGGGGCAGAGAACTGCTGTTTTTTATAAGCCTCATAATACCTGTTGCCTTTAAAAATAATGTACATGGGACCAGCAATTAGCGTAATGGCTATGTCGCTGGACTCCCACGTAGTCGACCGCGGTTCGCGTCCCAGATCCGGTGGCTTAAACTCATGCTGGGCGCATGTGCGTGTGTGCCCAAGATCCTGAGAGGAGAACAGAGGAGAAGGGATTGTGGTGTGGCCATCCCCCGGGGGGTGATTTCTCACTTTCTGTCTCTCTGTCTCTCTCTTGTCTGTCTGGCAAGCGCACATGCCCTATAGCAAAAACCTCTCCAAAAAAAAAAAAAATGTACATGTGTTATATTTATCCAATAAAAACCAGAAAGTTAAATTCAATTGCCAAGTTTAGCAACTAAATTCAAATGGACTCTATTATACGTGACAGATCATATGTAGTGATACAATATTATCAATATTATACATGGTCCATTTTTGTGTTTCTAGGCAAAATGACCTAAGATCTGCAAAGCATGTTACAAATATTTGTTAGGCATAACTGTGACTGAGCCCTTGTGAAAATTCTGGTTTGGGTGGACAATGGGGCTCACGCAATGATTCCTTTGTTCTTCCCAATACATTAGAGTATGCTCCTCAGGGCCAGCAGATGGCATAATGGTTACACCTGTGGACTCCCATGTAATAGACTATGGTTCAAGACCCGGATCTGGTGGCTTGAGACTCACATCAAGCACGTGTGCATGCATGCCCAAAACCCCAAGAGGAGAATGAAGGGGAAGGAACTGTGGTAGGGCCATCCACCCCAGGGGGGTGATTTCTCGCTTTTGGTGTCTCTGTCTCTTGGCAAGCACATGTGCCCTATAGCAAAAATCTCTCTAAAAAAACAAACAAACAAACAAAAACAAAAACAAATAAGAGTGTGCTCCTCTGGTTATTTTTGGCAATTACTGCTAGTAGCTAGCTTCTTCCTATATCAAGAGCAGGAAGTGACCATAAACATATTTTCTTGATTTGTAAAACAAAGTCATCATCTAGTCTTTTTTTTAAAAAAAAAAGAATTATTTTATTTAAATTATTTGACTAGAGAGAGAGAAAGAGAAAGCAAGAAGGCGGGACCAGCAGTTGGCATAATGGCTATGTTGCTGGATTCCCACACAGTCGACCGCGGTTCGTGTCCTGGACCCGGTGGCTTAGAACTCACGCCAGGCACATGTGCATGCGTGCCCAAGATCCTGAGAGGAGAATGG